ACGCTCGTCCTCTTTAACTGCCTTTCTTTTTAAATCATAGTGGCTACATTGACATGAGCGTACACACTGTTTGACCTTTTTTTTTTTTTTTATTCACACCGGGTCCTCCACTTTCCTCCGTCACTGCCCCGTGTGTAATGACGATGATGTAGTTGGAAGACATGAGGTTTCATTAAAAAATTATTTGCTCCCATTTATAAATGTACCTTTCTTTCTATAGATGCAATACACCAGAGGTATTACAGAAACTACAAACCCCAACCGCACACCAGTGTTTCTTTCAGCGCAGCTTCAGAGTCTGATCATTTATACTCGTATAAAGTCATGTTTTACTCCCGCAGCAGCTTTGAGCCACAGGGGCCCTCTTTCTTTTCGACATTCGCCACCTCACATGAACTTAACTTGACAAATGGTTGCAGCTGTTTGCTCATAAATGCCACAAGACTACTGGCCAAAACGGACCCTGTAAGAGTCTGACCTTTTTCCAATGACAGCAACTGTTGTTCACACAGAATAAAGAAAGTGCCCTTCCATGCCAGAGGTTGAAGAAGAGGGGGTGGGGGGGGTCAGAAGTGTCAGGCTCTGCCGCTGAAGAGCTGTTTGTTGATAAAACCTTTAAACTTTAAACTAGCAGTTTTTTATCTTCCAGCTAACTGAGGATGCACAGCAGTGTCAGGCCGACACTGAGCAAATCATGACAGGGGATCTAAATTGGGTCTTGCACAAAGCAGAACGCACATTATGGTGGTACCTGCACAGCTGTCAAAGCTTTTCTCAGGAAATCTAACCCCAGGATGATACTTTCTCAGAAACCATTTAATGTCTGTATTCTGAATTTACCTCTCTATGTAACAGTTACTGGTAATGGTTTCGAACTGATTCCTTCCTGTGAGCGATTGAGAGGAAACGATGCATGCATGTAATTTTGCAGTTTTTCTCTCTGATACATCATCTTTGGCCCCGAGTGTCAATTACATATCTTTAGAAGACATTATTTATATTTTACAAATCAACACCTGACTAATATATATGTATGTCTGCAACTCAACACACTGAAAAAACCCAAACCTTATTCCGAGTTTCAACCCGAGGGATAAAAGGATACAACCACCAGGGGTTTGTCAAAAAGAATGTAGCCGTTGGTTTCCCGCAGGGCTTTCTCTGCGCTCCACTCGCTGGGGAGTCCTACGAAGGCCTGCCCTTTCATCCTCCCCTCCTTCATTAACACAATGTCAAACCTGAGGAAGAACAGCGAAGCAGGGACACGGACACATCATCATCATCATCATCATCACTGATTCAACACAACAGATCCACAGATAGATACTTAATTAATCCCGAAGGAATTTCAGGCATCTAGCAGCTTCAATCACATGTACAGGGCAAGAACTTGGAGGTCTGTCAAATAGGCAGTGATAAATGTAAATTACTAAACTGAAGAAAAATGTAACCCCAAGACCAGAACCACAAAACATATTGTTCATAGGATTACTGAGGTAAAAGTACGTGTCTTTGAGGGCTGTGCAGATAGTCAGCAAATTGTCAGTTTTTTTGATTATTTTTCATTTAAATAATGAAAAATACTCAACTTAAAGTGGATTTACTTAGTGATTCCAGGTAAATCTTTTTTTCTTTGCCAAGAAAAAAACTGTGCATCTTTAAAAACAACACACCAATATTCACAACATATTTCTCATTTAAACTTTTCAGAACGGAACAAATAAAATAGAACAATTTATATTTTATAACTGTAATTTCACCTGAATGTCTGTACATAAACATAAAAGATAAGCTGTGATGGAAAGACCCTGTTAACTCTGCTCCTGCACAACCCCCAACCCCCTCCTCACTGAGCCTTTAGCTTTTTATCACCAGCACTGAAACAGCAAGACGGCATTTTTAAGATTTATCCACTCTGGAGACGATTTTAAAAAAGCTACTGTGTTGGATGAGAAAAAACAATTATTTTAGGTGAGGTTTGGAACACAGAGGGAAAAAAAAAAAATATATATATATTCCTTAATTTAACAGGGTTAATGTGGAGCCAGGGCTTACAGATTCTCTTAGGGGTAATACTTTGAGCGCTATAGTTTTCTGCTAAATTATAAATAACACTGAACAAAAAGAGTGTCAAAATTGTGCAGTATGTGCAGAAGTAGCAGACACAAAAACTACTTTGCAACATCACCAGTGTGTGTCTATTACTGGTGGAGCAGGCGAGATAACAAATACCATAGGTTTGTTTTTGGCTGCAGATGTGAGAGGACACTCAGCTGTAGAAAACAGAGGCGTGAAGCATGTGCACAAAAAGGTTGAAGCTTGTTATAATGTTCCTTCACATTTATTTGTTTTCCACACTGAACCAAAAACTACTAACCTTTGAAGCGAAGATGTATCCAAGCATTAATTGTAAGTGTTATAGCTCTGTGCGGTCTGCCTTTGTGTTTGGATGACACATAAACTGATTTTTGGGTTAGGATAGGAACTGGTATTGTCAAGGTTATGATTTCGACAAACATTTGTTTGCATATAATGTTTTATGAAAATAAAATAAATTGCAGTAACTCTGAAAGGGTCAAAAAGACACAATTTAGAGTCAGGTTAGCAGAGGACAAGCTGTTTCTCTGGCAGAGCTACACCCTCCTGTTTATCACCGACATCTGAGTTCAGAGTCTGGCCTTCTCCCAACATAAGCGCCGTTTGATGACTCAGGTGGACGATTCATTTGAAGTAGTGCTGATGCGCAAACATAAATGTCCCTCATGATCTAGACGTCAGGTTAGATACTTATTAATAACACAACACACAGTCAGCATGAATTACTAACATCTCTCAAGAGGAGGCGACAAATTGCTCGAGTCAGAAATAGCTCCGGAAGAGAAAATGGAGCAAAGAGACACGCAAAGCATATTGATAAAAAAAGAAAGAAAAGTCGTGATCATCTGGATATCTGATTACGTACATTTTTCTCTCGTCTTCTGACAAAGGGTTGATGTATCTCCCGTATATGTACTTCAACTCCTGGAAGGTAAATAACGCATACATTATTATAAGTGCATTGTTGATGCCACGGATCTTGACATTTATATCTGATTTCCAAAAAAACACAAAAATCGGAATACACATAATGGATTTAAGCAATAAATAACTAACAACTTAAAGATAAGTGGGTCAAGTTCTATAAAGGCACCTACTTTCTCATCCACTTGCTTTGGGATGTTCTTCACGTACAGTCGGCAGGTCGGCTCGCCGGGTTCATAATTTTTAAACACAGACATCCGTTTCATCTCTGATATAAAAAGAGAAAAAAGGAGAGGAAAAAAAGATGTGTGTCAAAAACAAGTACAAAGGATCACAGAGCTGCGTATAGCTACAGTGCACACAGGTAAACTCAGAGCTCAGTGTTTTAAAGAAGAGAGACTGAAGACGTTAAAGCCGATGAGGTGATTATTGATCTCTGCAGTTTAATTTTAGATGTGACTTGGGCGTATCGGTCTCAGCTGATGTGAAACATTATTTGTATGGAAAACATATCTGGACATATCAACAATGTGTTCAGGAGGAAGGACAAAAAGTAACACAACAGATTACTCTTTAGTTGGTACTGCAAAGATGCAACCAAACTGCACACATCCAGAAGTTCTGTCTCTGGTTACCTGACACATGTTACATATTCCCTCTCCTTTTACCCTTGTTTTGCACTTCATCATCTCCTGGGGTATACAGTACGTGCTTGTGCCTTTTTAGCTGCTGTATGTTTCATTGTTCAGCCTCTTCAATACAAGACAACATTTATTCAAATGTCATTCATTCTATTCTGCAAATCAAACCGGAAGAGACAACTCAAAGAAAATCACTTTGTAATGTATTTCTGATTATCAGGGTGGCTGGTTCAAACTGTATTGTGCAAAGCTGCTGTCAAGAGATCCTCCATTATGTCCCCCCTGCTTGTTTACAGTTAACTAAACAAAGGCGATGTGATGCAGACAGTGTGTGCTCGCACAGAACTTAGAGGTGTGACATGTAGCGGCATCTCTTCAACTTATCCAGCTCTCCTACACAAACAGCTGTCGATCCAGCTCTGTGCACGTCTCCACTGTTTGAAAATGACCCTCTGTCATTCTGTGTTTGTAGCTTTTGTACAGAACAGTGAGGTAAAAAATGTCCACCTAAAGTAGTTCACCCTGGTCTGTCTGAGCATGGCCTGTGTCTGAAATCACTCACTAATCCCTATTATATACAATGTAACTTTTTTATACCCTATATCAAAGTGCACTTTAACCATCATGCATTGCGCTCACAGCAGCAAGAGGAGCGAGGGCAGCAGGAACAGCCCAACCTCTCGTACAAATGTAAATATGAGCAGAACTCCAACTTTTTTCTAAGTCTAAGCAGAGTCCTGTTTATATTTACCGTCTCTTGACAGCCGTCCTTTCTCCAGCTCCTTTCTGGAGATGACACCCGAGGTGAGGTCCTGATCGTCGTCGCTCTGCTCCTCCTGCTGCTGGGACTCCTGGGTGCTGGGGTAGAGCTTCCCAAAACCTTCAGTGACCTCCAGCTCCTCGCTGAGAGAGGGAGCGACCTCCATCTCGTCCACTTCTGAGGTTAAAGATGCTTTATGAGCAGCTAAGATCACAAACAGAAACAAAACGATTCATTATATTTTAAGTACAGTTGAGTTGGTTGAGTGGGAAATCCAGTGGATTGCTTATGTTACACAACAAGATGAGGACCGTCTATCTGCAGCACAAATACAGAAGGAAGTTTTCAAAGTGTTTAAAAATAGCAGATGGTAAAATAATCACTTCCACTATGTTTACAGGATGGTGGAGAGGAAGCAAATCCTCTTGGTTATAATTAGTTCAACATGTCGGTGTTTAAAATTTCTAAGCATGGCATCATTCAAAACTGAATAAGATGAATATAATCATTACATCATCTGGCTTTAATATGATAAATAGAGAAAAGTGTTACTTAAAAGTCAACATTAGCTGCACTACACATACAGTCAACATCAAATTACAAGCATCCATCAAACACCTCTCCTTTTTTTCTTGTTTTAGGGCTGCTCATTTCGTGATTAATCAATTGGTTGTTTGGTCCATAAAATAGTAAAAAAGACAACTTTAATCTGCGTTTGTGAATCTCAAAGATGGCCTCCTTAAATGCTATGGCCATGGCTAAAAAGATATTAATTACTTTCATTAGAGGAGCAAAGAAACCAGAAAATAATAATAATAAAAAAAACTCAAAGCGATTACTCGATGATCAAAATGAATTAACTTGTTGATTACTGATCAACTACTTGTGTACAAGTTTGAAAGGCAGGGTGACGGAGAACTCTGACAGACTTTCGAGGAGCGCATGCTCATGCACACACACACACACACACACGCTGTAGATGGAATTACGAAGAGCAGTGAGCCCGTACAAATCCAAGGAGTGGTGGGAAAAAAAAAACTTGTCATCCACATAAGGTGTATGTGTGTGTGCAGTGGAGCAAGAAGTGTTGTGGAGCTTTCCTGATACACTCTCTGCAGAGAACTAGACCACAGCTTTCGAAATTATCCTCCTCCTTATCTACCCCCCACCTCCCCTTTTCATTTAAATAGCTTGTTTATCGGATCCCACACCCTCACTTCTGCAAAACAAGACTAATCCAAAAAGCCACCTGTCATAGTTTATCTTTCTCCCTGCCTTTAGGAAATCTTTTGTGTTTGACTTTGAGATCTATTTTACTTCTCAGGGGCTTGCCAGGGAGTGAAGTTGTAGTTAGAGAGAAGCGAGATAAGGCGAACGGGGAACTGCACAGCTGACAAGTAACACAGGCTGTGCTCCCAGTGACATTTCCTCATACAGATAATGGTAAAGCCTTTTTGGTGCAGGTTTCTGCTGTGATATACTGCTGTGTTAACACTCTGCTCCAACTCCACCCATGGTAAGGGCTTTAAGTTATGACAATAGGAGTATCAAACCAACTCCTGCTTCAGTGTGATAATAAACATGATGTACAGTAACAATCAAATTCCTACAGTGCCTCTCCTGCTCCAACAAAAGTCGACAGAACTTTTTTATACAGAGTCCCCCTGCCGATGTGTTTGTAGATTACAGTATCAGCCTGATTTATTTTGACTGGCCAATTGTGAGAGTCACAGCTTTGTTATATTTGTGACTGAAAGTGACTAAATTTGTTTCCACTGATGCACTTCATTTGAGGACGGGAGATAGTGGATATTATTATCACAGTGTCTCCCACACGATTACTTTCCATCTGTGGTGGTAGCTGGCCCTGAGGGTGGGGGGGGGGGTGTCTGATTAGTGAGCCCAGTTCTGGCACACGCACACAGCACGCTTTCATCCCACATGACTGCAGGAACACATGCAGGTTAAGAGGAAACTACCAGCGTTATGACAAAAAAAGATAGAGAGAGAGAGAAGATAACATTTTTTTAGTTTATTGTTTTTACTGTGGCAAGACAATTGACTGTATATAAAGGTGGACGACATGACAGCTCCCCCAAAAGTGAAGCCAAAGCAACTCAATCACCCCCTGCTGGCTGGTTGCATTAAAAGTAATGAACAATGCCTCCTCCATGTTAGAGATTGGGACATGGGTCAAACTAAAGAGTACACGTTTTGTATGTTTTGTGGGGGACCCCCGGAAAACCATCATCAACTGTGTTCTTGCAGCAGAAAATAATTATT